ACCTCCAAAACATATTCCGATCACGCTCCTAAGTTCCAAATCACCTCCCGAATCCATCCGAACCATCGGAACTCACATCCAAGCCCTCTAACACATAAGTCAACATCCAGTTGACTTTCCAACTTAAGCTTCATTAAAAGAGACTAAGTGTCTCAAACCTTACCAAAATCTTTCCGAACCCGAGCCAACCAACCCGATCACACATAGAACCGATAAACAAATCAATAAGAAGCAAAAATAGGGGTAACAGAGCGGTAACTCATGAGACGACTGGTCGGGTCGTCACAACAGATTTCTGCAACTTTTCACAACTTGAAATGGTCTGTATAACCACCCGAAACTCACCCGAGGCCCTCGAGACCTCAACCAAACATGCCAACATATCCCATAACATCATTCAAACTTGTTCGAACCTTCAGAACGCTCAAAATAACATCAAAACACCAAATTCGCATCGGATTCAAGCCTAAGAACTTCTAAAATCTTCTCAATTCTGCTTTCGATCAAAAAGTCTATCAAACCACGTCCGAATGACCTGATATTTTTACATACATCCCAAATGACACAACGAATCTATTGCAACTTCCGGAATTCCATTCCAACCCTTATATCAAAATCTTACCTATCAACTGGAAAACGCCAAAATTCCATTTTCGCCAATTCAAGCCTAAATTCACTCCGGACCTCCAAAACACATTCGGATCACGCTTCTAAGTATAAAATCACCTCCCAAAGCTATCTGAACCATCGGAACTCACATCCAATCCCTTTAACACATAAGTCAATATCCGGTTGACTTTTGCAACTTAAGCTTACTCAAAGGAGACTAAGTATCTCAAACCTTACTAAAACCTTTTTGAACCCGAGCCGACCAATCCGATAGCACATAATACAGCTGAACAAGGCAATAATAAGCAAAAATGGGGAAAACAGAGCAGTAACTCATGAAACGACCAGCCGGGTCGTTACACTTGACCATCTAGTTGTCTCAAGAATAACTCTGTTAGGATTATGTGTCGACTTTAGGCATGTAGATTTCTTTTTCTTCCATAGTGGGGTAGGTTTATATACTAAAGCTTTCTTACACCAAACTTTTGTCCACTTGCTCAAGGAGACCTTTTGGTTAATGTATGTATCTCCTTAAGATTTTGGAGAGCAGCAAATAAGTACTCACAATATCGAGGAACAAATCTCATATGTTTTCGTCTAAAAATGTGAGTTCCCGTATCTCAGGTACCACTTCCTTGCACAAAGAACTCACAACGGAAAAACCTCTAAGAATATGTAAGTCCCGAAGAGAGATAGATATCTCTCTGACTGATGTAAGAAGTGTGTTCATCTTGGGGCACCGAGCCTCAAAAAATGCTTGCAAAATATTCGAGTTTCGATCATAAGTGAAAAGCGAGGCAAAAATAGCATCATAAATCTTTGTTGTACTCAAGGTTTGTTGGCTTCTACCAAGTACATATTCATCACATTCTCAATATCTTGGATTGTGAAAATACTCGCTCTCGATGGTTACCGTGTTTCCCCAATGTATTTCTCCTAGAATTATGTGACTCCCTAAGTTCGGAAGGGTGCTAGCAATGTTTATGTGGCGATGGATTGGCGCTTAGAGAGACACATCTTGGATAATGGATTAGAAGTAGACTTATGCTCAAAAGTCTAGTTTTCTACATGAAGTGGGTTTCTCGAGGAAGGCCATGAGCCTGCATACTGGCCAACTTGTGAAGTGTGAATCAAAAGTTTGGTTTGTTCTATGCCATCTTCAGTTTCAATTATGAGATATCTAAGTTTGGATGATGTATAGTCTTTGAAATTTGTCATCTCTTCGGGTTGCAAAGGACAAAAGAGTTCATCAGCGTTTAAATCAAGAGTATTGAAACAAGTACAAAGATCTTGATAGATGAAATGGCCTCCGACTTTTGGGCAGGGATGAGTGTACATCCCTTCACGGCGGGGATGAATATCCATCCATTCATACCCTAAGATAATGTTGCGGGCGGGGATGAGTATCCTTCCCTTTACACCTAAAGGTTATCCCTCTGATTTTCGGAGGATGAGTATCCTTCCCTTCATATCCTAAGATTAGCCCTCCGATTTTCGGATGGAGATGAGTATCCATCCATTCACACCCTAAGATTGGCCCTCAAGTTTTCGGACGGGGAAGAGTACCCATCTCTTCACACCGTAGGATTATCGTCTTCTTGCGTGGATTATCTCGTTAAACAAGAGCATATCTTTCTTGTTTGACCTACAAAAAAAAAGATGATAGAGTGAAGAAAGAACAAGAAAAGTAGAAGAAATTACTTTTCTGTTAATGTTTTCAAACCGTCAAAAGTAGGCTTAAAGTGGTTTGCAAACGCTTAAAGTGATGCTAATAGAATAAAGAGTATATGGTATTTATATACTTCAAAAGGTGGTTGTAAAAGGAATTATTTAGATGTGGGAACGACTGAGAATCAGTTTTAGAAAAGGACTTGGGCATGTTTTAAGGCGGCAAAGGCTTGAGCTTTTCCTTGACCAATTATATAACTAATAAAAAGAGATATTGATCCTTCATCTGTGTTACCTTAGCCGCATTTGAGGAAGTCAAACCCCACTAATGTGGACAAAAAGCAATAATGCAGTAATTAACCAAACATTTGGAAGTGTTAAATTAAATACACTATGTTACGTGTGAGAATTTTAAACGCAAAGAGATGGACGTGATTTTAAAGAGCAGAAGGAGCTTTTTAATTTAAAATAGTTTATTCATTAGTTAAAAACTATTTAGGAAGCAATGCTCAATGAATTGGGTGGTTACAAATCCATGTGCTATGAGATAATTCAGTTGTATAAAGAATTAATGGCTCTTAAGATATTATTTGGTAGAAGTTTGTCCAAAAAAAATGTTTTGTACTTCAAGTCTAATCTATAAAGTCTACATCTAACAGGTCTTGAAGTAAAGAGTATTTATAGGCAATTAAAATTTTATCGAGTTTAAATCTATAAGAAATTTGAATTTAATCTCAATTAAATATAGTTTTGTCCAAATATATATTATGGGCTAATATAATTGGATTAATTATATAAATTCAATATATATGAGTTAAATAAATAAGTCCAAATCCATTGAGTTAGCCCATTTAGATAGCTACAAGTGACGGGACCACTTCATTAAGTCGAAGATGCCATCTTCCTAGAGGCCTAGTTTGGTGCCACGTGTCAAATGAAAGAGACAATATGATCATGCCACATATCAAAATAACAAGGCATACCAAGTCAAATTATATGGCCAATGAAACTGTGTCATATGTGCAAGTAACATGCTCTGGCCAATCAAATGTGGTTTTGTCACGCTTCAATCTGATTGGTCGGAAAGAGTTTGTTCTCATCACAACTCTTCTCTTCCACAACTATAAATATGGGTCTTCATAACTCATAAAGGACCATCAGAAGTCATAACTAGAAGCAAGAGAGCTCGTGGATCAAACGCCACAAATTTCTCTACAAACTTTAAGTTTCAAGCAACCAAGTTCAAGTTCAAGCTTACGAACGAAGAACATATTAAGGTTCAAGGATTACAAGTTCAAATCAAAGTTCTCGCTGGAAAAGAAGAATCAGAGGATTCATAAAAATTGTCCACTCATATTACTTGAAACCAAATACTACGACTGTTGCAATATTTTTCGGTCTCGATTATTTTCTTGACGCAATTGTATTATCTACATTCCCATCGCCACTCAATTTTGGAATCATATTAGCATAGATATCTCCTCCCTTCCTATACATCAAAATCATTGGTTACTGCTTCTTAAAGACCTTCGAGCCCCTCACCAAAATGAACTCTCCACCGGGGATGTCTTATTTCCTATCGCCTACAAAAGAAATGTAAACATTTTTCACAACTTGTCAAACAATTTATCCTCCAACGACATGTCATTATAAGTTAAAATACTGATGGAGCCTTTACAGACATCCAACAAAATGTGGCATAGGCGGAGTCATAAAAAATGAGCATGGCCATTGGACAGTGGATTTTAGCAAATGCATGTTTTGATACGAATATACATATATGGAACTTCTAGCACTCAAACAGGGACTGCACTTCGTATAGGAACACCACCTTCCAGAAATTGAAACAAATTCTATGGAAGTTACCCACTTGCTTGAACAGAATAATCCTAGTTATAGTGATATAACTTCTAACATGCAGGTGGCGCATGCTCTAGCACAATTAGCAATTTAGAATGCTCTATCCAACCAGTCCATCAAAGCAGCTCCTACAAACTCTATCAAAAAAATATTCCAAAAAGACAAAAAAATATTAGGCCCTACTAAGCAAGTTTCTACTTTTGTTTGTACCAGTTTAGCTAAGCTTGATAATCTATTTGTACTTATAACCGGTTTCTAAAATCAACTTATTTTAAAAAGTATTTATTTTTATAAGTGTTATTCAAAAAAGTATTTTTGATGAAACCAGTTTAAGTTTTGTTAATTACTTTGAAAAGCACTTTGTAGCAATAGTTAGTGTTTGGTCAAGATTTTAAAAAGTGTTTTTAAGTGTATTTTTTCTAAAAGTTCTTTTAGAGAGAAGCTACTTTTTTATGCTTTTCAAAAATTATTTTTGCTTCTATTCAAAAGCACTTTTTTCCTTCTAAAAACTTGGCCAAATACCTTAACTTTGAAAAAAAAAGTACTTTTGGCAACCAAACTAAAATCTCTTTGGCCAAAATGAAGCTTGGCCATACAGGCTACTAGTGACCTTAGTATTAATGGTCACACTTCTGCTTTCATTAACCTTACAACTAATATAATGCATCTCTAATATTAGTAATAACATTTTTTTCTTTGCCCCAAAAAATAGTTCAGGGTTCGGAGATAGATGTCTCATTTATCACCTATAAAAACCCTTCTTGTAATATTATTATGCAATGTTCAATAAGTCAATAATTATTTTAGTAGATAGGGACCTCAGGGAGCTGGGGGCATATGTTAAGAAGGTGAACGATAGATTAATGGTTATTAAGCTAGTAGTTGGTGGGCTCACTTTAAGCGTGATTAGTGCTTACCGCCCGCAGGCAGACTTGGACGAGGAGCTTAAAAAGCACTTCTGGGAGGATTTGGATGCGGCGGTGCGAGGTATTCCGCACAACGAGAAGTTATTCATAGGAAGAAATTTTAATGGTCATATTGGGGAGATGTCTAGGGGCTATGATGATGTGCATGGCAGGTTCAGTTTTAGGAATGAGGGTGGCACTTCGTTGCTGGATTTCGCTATAGCTTTTTATTTGGTGGCAGCTAACTTATGTTTCCAAAAGAGGGAGGACCATTTAGTCACATTTCAGAATATAGTGGCCAAAACTCAGATTGATTACCTTCTTTGCAAGAAGAGTGATAATGTCTTATGCACTGATTGCGAGGTTATACCGAGCGAGTGACTTTCGACCCAACATAGGCTCTTGGTAATGGACTTGGAGATCAAAGGAAAGAGGAAGAAGAGATCACTATACAACAAACCTAAGATTAAGTAGGTAGACTTGACTGAGGACAAAGCTCGGGCATTGGGGGAGAAGTTGTTGGCTATGGGGGTCTGGAGGAGTAGTGGGAACGCGAGTAATATGTCGGCCATGACAACGGACTGCATTAGGGAAGCTGCGAGGGAGGTGCTAGGGGTTATAAAGGGTTACTCGAGGGGAGGGGGCACAAAGGGGATTGGTGGTGAAATGGAGAGGTCCAACAAAAAATGAAAGCCAAGAAAGTGGCATATGTGAAGCTAGTGGAGAGCACCGACAAGGAGGAGAAGAGGACGAATAGGGAGTGTTATAAAAAGGCAAAGAAAGAGGCAAAGTTAGCGGTCACGACGTCCAAGATAGTAACGTTTGAGCGCTTGTATGAGGAACTTGGGGGCAGAGTTGGTGACAAGAAACTGTTTAGGCTAGCCAAGGTTAGAGAGAGGAAGGCTTGGGACCTGGACCAAGTGAGGTACATCAAAGACTAGGAAGGCAAGGTATTGGTGTAAAAGGTATGTATTTGGTGCAAGTGTCAGATATACTTCCATAAAATCTTGAACGAAGATGGGGACAGGAACATCATGCTTGGGGAGTTGCAGAACTCAGAAAACAAGCGTGATTTTGGGTTTTGTAGGGACATTAAAGTTGATGAGGTTAAGGAGGTGATGCACAAGATGAGTAAGGGTAGGGCGACTGGGCCCGACGAGATTCTGATGGAATTTTAGAAGGACGTGGTTTGGACAGGTTTGGAGTTGCTCATTAGACTATATAATGTCATTTTTAGGATGAAGAAGATGCCCGAAGAATAAAGGCAGAATTTGATGGTTCTGTTGTACAAGAACAAGGGAGATGACCAGAATTGCAATAACTATAGGGGTATTAAGTTGCTGAGTCACACTATGTAAGTTGGGAGAGGATGGTGGAGAGGAGGGTGAGGAGGTATGTGTCTATCTTGGAGAATCAGTTCAGACTCGTGTCGGGACAGTCGACTATTGAAGTTATTCTCTTGTGAGGAGATTGATAGAACAGTATAGGGAGAAGAAGAAGGACTTGTATATGGTGTTCATTGACCTAGAAAAAGACTACGACAAAGTCCCAAGGGAGGTTCTATAGAGATGTTTGGAGGCTAGAGGAGTCCTAGTAGCGTACATTAGGGTGATCAACAATATGTATGATGGAGTTAAGACTAGGGTAAGGACGGTAGGAGGAGACTTGGATAATTTCCAAAATGGTGATGGGGTTACACCAGGGATTAACTCTTAGCCCATTTTTATTTGATCTAGCAATGGATGTGCTGACGCAACACATTCAGGAGGAGGTGCCATGGTGTATGTTATTTGCAAATGACATAGTGTTGATTGACAAGACGTGTTGCGGGGTTAACACTAGGCTGGAGGTGTGGAAACAGATCCTAGAGTCTAAAGGTTTTAAATTGAGTAGGACAAAAATAGAATAACTGGAGTGCGAGTTCAATGTTGGGATACATGAAGTTGATGTGGAAGTGAAGCTTCATACACAAGTAATCCACCACCCCCAAGGGATAATTTTAAATACCTTAGGTCTGTAATACCCTAATGGAGACATTGACGAAGATGTTACTCATCGTATATGAGCAAGGTGGATAAAATAAGACTCATAACTGGTGTTTTATGTGATAGGAATGTACCACCAAGTCTTAAGGGCAAGTTCTACAAGGCGGAAGTTAGACCGGTTATGTTGTATGGAGCCGAGTGCTGGCTAGTTAAGAAGTCTCATGTCCAGAAGAAGAAAATAGCGTAAATAAGGATGTTAAGATGGATGTGTGGATATAAAATTATTAGGGACAAGGTGGTTGTAGCTCCTATGGAAGACAAGTTGCAAGAATCGAGGTTGAGATAGTTCGGGCATGTGAAGAGGACAGACATTGATGCCCCAGTTAGGAGATGTGACAGGTTGACCATGGCAGGTCAGAGGAAAGGTAGAGGATGGCCTAAGAACTACTAGGAAGAGGTGATTAAGTAGGACATGACACTACTTCAGCTTACCAAAGACATGACCCTCGATAGAAAAGTGTGGAGGTCAAGTATTAGGGTTGTGGGTTGACAAGTAGTCCAGAGTTTTTTCTAATTTCACCAGCAGTATTAGTACTAGTCTTAGTTTACTATTCCTAGTTCCTTGTTGGTACACGATGCGTCATTCTTACCTATAGTATTGGCATTGTTCTTGTACTTTCCTAGTCGTTGATCTTTGTTATTACACGGCAATTTGCTTTTGTTGTCATATTACATTGTTGTTGTTATTGTTTGTTTGTTGCTCCCTTTTCTATTCCTGAGTTGAGGGTATACCGAAAATAACTTCTCTATCCTCATAAGATAGAAGTAAAATTTGCGCGCACAATACTCTTCCTAGACTCCACTTGTGAGATTTCACTGGATTTATTGTTGATACTTACATCCGTTTGAGCCTTATAATATTTTGCCTATTTATAGCCTGTTTGGCCAAGCTTCTTTTTGGCCAAAAGTGCTTTTTTTTTTGCCAAAAGCACTTTTGGCCAAAAATTGAGGTGTTTGGCCAAGCTTTTGGAAGGGAAAAAAGTGTTTTTGAGGAGAAGCAGAAGCAGTTTTGGAAAAGCAGAAAAAAGTAGCTTCTCTCCCAAATCACTTTTTTGAGAAGCACTTTTGAAAAAAATACACTTAGAAGCAGTTTTTTAAAGCTTGGCCAAACACTAATTGCTGCTCAGAAGTGCTTTTCAAACTAATTAGCCAAACACAAACTGCTTCTCACCAAAAGTACTTTTTGAGAAAAACACTTTTGAAAAAAAACACTTCTCAAAATAAGCTGATTTTTACAGCTTGGCTAAACGGGCTATTAATCTTCAGCAAGTAGGTTTGGGTTGTTGACTGGTATTCTGAATGAGTATTCTTTAGCCAATCTATCAGTCTAAAAGATGAAAGTGCACAAGTAGGAATCTAACCAGAGAAGGCACTATTAATACCAACATGTTTCTTCTACATCCCATTTCACGGCAAATCAACAAATTCCCTTTTGCCATATTTAAAATTGAACATCATTCAACTTTTACAAGTCTCTACTAATCTAGAAGGCAGATCACTGGAATAACATTTCGATTTGGTTTTGCTTATGCTTTAGGATGATATGATTTTTAAAAGGTGCTTTAAACATTTTTGTGGAAACAATTACGTTGTCGTATTAGATTTTAGATTCCTCCTTAGATTTCTTATTAAACAAAAGAAATGGTTACATTAAATTATTTTAGAACACTATCAAACTAGTCTTTGAAACCAATACAACTTATTCCTACGAACACCATCTTATCATATCATCACTCTTTATAAAACCTGTTCTATTTCATTTGAACATATTTACAAAAATGCACATGAAACATCCCACTAGGTAAATTAGAACCTAACCAATAGGTAATTGTAAAACAGCTTACATTGGCAAATGAAGGTAGAAACGCTATTGTACTATTGCAAACTCCAAACAGCAACTACACCATTTGAAATAGCGGTAAGAAAACATGTGAATTTTTTTACTCCAAAGGAAAAGGTGTTTTACTATAAAGATCAATGAACTACATCACATGCAGCAATGCAGCTCAATACACATGCAAAGGAGAAGAAAGATAAGGTAAAACCAAGAATTATTACATCCGGAATAAACAAAATACAATAATATATTCAGTTGCGCTAAACCTAAGGCCATTCCAACCATTGCCACCATTTTTCCCTCCAAAATGGAGTAAACTCCAAAATGAAATAAAAGTTCCTTCAACCATTACTTCAATTTTTACTCCAAAAAAGAATATTTAATTTTATATTCTTTTATGTCTTCAATATTATATTATATTCGTAGCTTTCAATTTTAGCAACATCTAATATTTTATATTTGCACCATTCATTTTTTGAAATTATTATATATTTTTTGTACAATTATAACTTATACTAAATTAACTTATAATTTTACATAAAAATAATAAATACATGAATATTAATTTATCAAAATTATACGGCAAAATTAAGATGTAAACTTAATATTATAAAGATATTACATAAACATAATTAGATATATATATATATATATATATAAAGATAAATTAAAAAAATAATAGTAATAATAATAATAAAAGAATGAATAGTAATGGAGGAGATGAATAGTTCCACTTCAAATTTGAAGCACATTATTCATCCCCTATTTTGCAACTAAAAATAGAAGAGCATTGAGCCACATTTTGACAAAAAATGATTGCAGAAATGCAAAGCATTGGAATGCTCTAAGGGCATCTCCAACCCTCCTCATTTTTCCATATTTTTTTGCCAAAATGTGACTATAATGCTCTCCTATTTTTGCCCCAAAATAAGAGATGAATAGTGTTTTCAAATTTAGAGTGATACTATTTATCTCCTCCATTACTTTATTATTATTTAATTTTTTAAATTTATCTCTTTATATATACTTAATTATATTGTATCTCAATGATTTCACTTTTTTGAATTGTCTATTAATATATATAATCTATAATATTTCGTTACAAATTATATTATTTATAAATTTATAGTATAAAATAATTTTATATTAAATTATATGTGATAAATGTGTAAAAGAAAAAATAATAATTTCTTTAATATAAATAAGAAAATAAAATTTAAATAAAAGATAATAATATAATATTAAAGAAAAAGAAAAATATAAAATAGAATATTATTTTTTAGAATAAAATATAGAATAACGATTAAAGTAATTTACTCTATTTTGAAATTTACTCCATTTTGAAGGAAAAAATAGAAGCTAAGAGTTAGAGATAGCCTAAGAAAGCTAGGGCGAATTTTAGAAAGCCAAGCCTCAGGCCATCTCCAACCCTTGCCTCCATTTTTTCTTCCAAAATTGAATAAAATTATTCCAACCATTACTCTATTTTTTCTCCAAAA